CTGTTTAAGCACCTTTTGGCCATTTCCGCTCAATATTAGCTGATGTAGTATGTATTTAAGTATGTATAAAACAAATAATTGTTTTAGAGGGATTGAAACTTCGTAATCTCCCTTGTTAAATCGTATAATGAGCTATTAGAAGATGCAGATTTTGTACGACTGATGCATGAGAGGGTTAGGTGTACGGATTTGACAAGGTCGAATAGAATCTTGCTTGGAACATCTGAAGGCAGGTTACTGACAAAGGACAGAGTTTCCGCCAATCAGGGATGAAGCAGGAATAGAGATTTGACGATCGTTAGGCAGCGTCCGTCCAAGACTGAGGCGCGAGAGTGACATGCACTGTGGTCTGAATTGCCAGAAACATGTGCGCGCCGTCTGAAGCACAAACGCTGCAGCATCTGCTGCGGTCATTTGGCATTGTTTACTTTCATCGCAGGTCACGGTACGGAGAACTGCTGTGGCCCCGTCATCGAGGAAGAACCGATCACTGGCCTGGTTCGACAGAAAGTGCTAAATGACTTATTACTTCGATGCTGATGCTGATGGCGTCGCTCCCGAGCAGAAGTTGGTCGTCGGCGATGTGGTAGCGCTTCGAGAATTGACGGCTGATGGCCGCTGCGGTCAGTTGACAGACCTTGAGTGGAAGCTGGTGTGGGATAGACGCGTTTTCGGGCTTCATCCACGTCGGCAGTCGCATTTCTGAAGTCAGCGGTATGTCATATACGAGCCTTTGTCGACTTGATTACGAAACTTTTAGCACGCGTCACTGCAGATTGATTGCGTCGTTCTGCTTACGAAATGAGTTCAGTTCAGCGTAGCACGTAGCACTACTAATAAGTTTCGGTTCACCACTGTTCAGTATTTTGAGTCTGACGTGTTTTACGAGATGCACTGCTCGATTTTTGACTGTTTTTGTTTTTTAAAAGGTTCTGTGTCATTTTATGAACTTAATTTTGCTTTCCTTATTCATACTTGGCATCTACTTCTCGGAGAACGCTTGCTTGTTTATCAAAGCTAAGGACTCAGGAGTCACGGTAAAGCATGATAAAGTCTATTCCATTAAGGTCTGTAGCGAAAAAGAAACAATGTACTGACAAGACTATGATAGTCATAGGTTTACAAACGTGTTTGGCCTTTGAAAGTAAATTTATCTTAAAAAAACGTTCTGTGATTAACGACTGAGAGAGAACAGTATAGGAAACGATATCCACATTGATTTTGAAGATGGTATGATTAGAGCATCATATAGGTTACCCTCTAAACGACGGATGATATTTCATAGAACATCAAGACTTAGGCTTCGTGGATGAATGACGTTAAGAAACAAAGAAAAGAAACTATCAATCAGTCATCATTCCTCACCGTTGGATGATCATCATGTTATATCAGTGCGATACTAAAACGCTGCCCAGCATTGTACGCATTTTAGTGATTCGTCTGAATATGAGGTGACACTAATTGTTATTATTGATATTGAATGATACATTGTTACGAATGACTTGAAGCTGCTCTGAGTCGCCAAAAGCAAATGAACTCCCATAAACCTCCCTCGTCCCAGTGAGTGGAAGACTGAAGGTGTGAAGAATGCTCATTTGGAAGGGGAAAACCAGTCTATCAGTCATGTATCACGAGATCACGATACGATCGGTTAAAGATGCTATTACAGCAATTGTGCAGCTCTGTAAGATCTCAAACTTATGATGATTTCATTCAGTGCATTGAATTGGTGTAATGTAACTGATGTTGACGATTTACTCACCTG